GGGGGGGGGGGGATTGTGTGGGATTAGAGGGGAAGGGAGGATTGAAATTGTAGTAATCTGTAAATGATTTTCTGCGCAGTTTGACTGCTCATGCTTCGTCTCATTGTCTTGCAAGATGTTAATTTAGTACTATCTTGATACTAACTCCCCACAAACAAACAAAAAAGCTTGGAAGGGGAAATAACTACGTCGTGTGCAAGAAGCTTTCAATAACAGAATAACATACTGCGTGGTTATTTTTGTCATCTGCTTACTGTAGTAGCTCTAGATCTTTTGTCCTGTGCTTATTTTGTGAAACTTTCTTAGCACTGCTAAAAAAAAACTCCCTTGTAGCTGCCTGTATTAAATGTATAAAACCCACTTTTCTAAAAAGTTTGTGGAGAAATTGGAAAGTCATTTAATTTTGATTGGTGTGAAATTGGTCGTTTATGCTTTGACATGCCGTGGAAAAAAAAAGTTGTGTGATTTCCCTGAGTTGTAGTTTTGGGGTGGGTGCGTCTCTTTTGGACCAGTTTATGTAGTACTCGGTCCCATTTGGATCAGTTGAACAGGTCAATATAGATTTCATCAGGTTGTAATCGGGAGAAAGAACGAATGGCTTTTAGCGGCGCTGAATAAAAAGGTGGTCATGTGCAAACTTCAGATCTACAGAACACATCTGATTTTGAGAATACTTTGTTCTGCCCATCTGTGGTGTTTGACTTGGCTAGTGAAGTGCTCCAAGAGATCGAAAAGGAGGGGGGATTTTTGGGGGGGGGGGGGGGTATTCACACATTGTGTACGTTTCTCAAATGGGTGGTATTTCAAGAAACAGATGAACAAAAGAAATTTTGTATGCAGCTGAAAAATCATATAAAACCAAAATATTTATCCTGCTCAAAGTCCTCCTACCGCCTCCCTGCTGTGAGCAGGGGGACAACGAGAACATAGCAGGCCTTCAGAGTCGCAAATAGCATCTTTTTCAAAATACTGCATTTATTGGAGAACAGTACATCGAGGCAACATGAGAAATCAATTCCAAAATGAAAGCCAGAAATCGGTGAACACAACGGATCCAAAAAGAGCCCTATTGTTTATTGGTCAAAGAGAAACTTTGTACTCACTGGTCCAACAGGATGTCTCCCTTTGGGGTGCCAGCGGGGTCTAGAGTCATGGTTGTGCGAAAGAATTTTACCACAATGCCTTTTCTTTACGTGATAGAGATTGCATGGCTTAAATCAGGCACGGGCAAACAACGGCCTGCGGGCCAGATTCGGCACGCAAAGAAATCTCAGTGCAGCCGCAAGTCGACCCAGGAATTAATAATGGATACGTACGGCTCGTGGTTAGCTGAATTTAATCAAAACAAAACTGTCGGTCTTGAAAAAAACCCGCTGGCAATAGTTTCTCGCTCAGAGGAAGATGGACCCAAGGTCTAACATTTCGTCTCATGATATGCCCTTGAGTGGCTTAGCATGGTATAGTTTATGAGGAGAGCCTGATGGGTGCTTCAACCTTTTCCGCGCAATTTTCACTTTCTTTGGCTTGTGAGATATTCGGAAATGCTCCGGTCCGGGATTTGACCCGCTTGCCAGTGCCCGACTTAAATGGTGTACTTTCAGCGCTATGTTCTGTTAATTGGCTTTTAATCTGAATGCAAAGTGAATGAGAATGTTACCCATCCCCTCCATTTTTTTTTCATCACACAATCCTCGACCTGAATTACAGCAACAGTCCTTTTACTTTATCATTGAATTTTATTTTCCAATAGGTCGCATCGAGTGTTCTTACGCTTCCGGTTATGCCTCTATTTTTTTCTATTTGTTTGTGGTCTTGACATTATCTCTAATTTCAATGCTTTGCTCCATTGATTGAGTTTCTTCTCAAACCATTGACCTAATATGTTACACTGAAACAATGCTACCAATGTTTTGTATTTATTTATATTTATTATTTATTTATGTATTTATTTATTTTACTTTCTGCCGTTTGTGTTGATTGCCACTGCATGTTGTACTGTGAATTGATCTGCATATGTATTTCTATCACTGTTACCTTCTTTGAATTATGAATGGCTTTATTTTTGGAGCTTTATATATGACGCACTGCCTTTGCCATCGCCAGATGCAACGCCTTTCACTTGTCTTGGAAGAACCGCATCATGGTGCACAGGGGAAGGGCAGTGTGTCTATCTGCTGCTTATCTTGTTCATTAACAACTACTTTCATTAAAGCGTTAGTACGTTGTTTCTATTGCTATATTTTATACATGTATTCTTTTTCGTGTTGGTATTATATATTACATATATGATACATACATGTATGTATACTATAATGCGTGTTGCTTCTTTCATATATAAATTATAAGGCCTACATGTATATTATGTACCTTATTTCTGTTGGTATTAGATACTCATGACATATATTATGTATGTGTTTCTGTTGTTATATTTTAAGGATTACTATATAAGGCATAGTGATAATAGTCAATTGATTTTTTTTTTAATCGGGGTGGGGTGGGGGTAGTAGTCTGGTTGTGTTGTTTTGTTTGTTTTCTTTGGTCGGTGCCACTGATATTTTGATTAAGGAGAAGGGGAGGAAGGGGGTAGTGCTGCCTGAGGGGCTGTAATCGTTATTAACGGCCGAAACGATTTGAAGCGTTGCATGTATATTACTATTGGTGCAAAATTTAATATTAACCCCCCCCCCCTCCCCCCGTAAATTTTTTTCTTTCATGATTTCCATCAAAGAGGTTATAATAGTCTATTTCTAACCTCTTTGGATTTTCATTTAAATTGCCACCATCTTGAATATTACATCATCTAAGCAAATGCTACTCCTCCGAATTTCACCAATGGAATTTGTTCGTGTTTCAGAAATAGGTAGGCAAGAGAACTGCTGTCACTGTATGGGCGGCATTTCTTATTGAATCTTTAAGTTATAGTATGTCAAAGTTGACCATTTTCGAAATTAACTCGAATTTCGGTCATGAAATAAAATACACATGTAAACAATAGATGAAATCTTCAAGTCTGTCCCCGTGGTTTTATGCACCCCGCATAATTTAGCAAAATTTGATCATTTTTTGCTTAATTTCTGATTATTTTCCTTTATCATTCTTTGTTAAAATTAACGGAATCGCAAAATTTCCCATTTTTGGGCTCAGTTTGCATAATTTCATAATTTTTCTTGCATAAACAGTCTAGTGCGATGACGCCGTGCCCCGGGGCTACCTGTATTCCAAATAATATTAACATCCATTATAATATCTTGTTCACTTTTGTCTGACAGCGTTAAAAAAAATTATTGACTTATAAATCTATGTCTATGAAACTTTGCATGGCACTTTTGCAGGTCAGGGACCAAACAAATTTTTTAAAAAAATGTTTGATCCCGTCATGAAAAGTTTTTCTCTTTGGTCTCTTCAATTAAAAACCGCTCTTTTGAATATGCGTACACAGGATCACCGAAATATATGACTTACGGTAACCTTGCCAACAGGTTGCTCATTTTGAGACGCGACACCACCATGCCCCCCTCATTTTAGCGTAAGCTTGTCGATTTCACCCCCCCCCCCCTCTTGACGTCTCCATGTGCCCCATGTGTGTCTCGAAAACTAATCACCCTATCTCTGAATCGCGTTTCTTAACGTATAAACCGAATGCATTCGTTTTCGTTTCCGTTCCCTGTTGCTCCCTGCTTGACCTTTCCTCCCAGTTGCCGAATCTTTGGGAGTGTTTCTTATTTCATCACCGAAAACTGAGTGCACCCCTCTCGCTTTCCTTTCCTTTTTCCTGCCGCCCCCAGTTGCTGAGCCGAACGCAAACGTTTTATCTTGCAACTGAAATCCCTCCCCGTTTTCTCTCAGCAAGTGATGAGATCACCAGAATTGTCATTGTCCTCTCAACCTACAACAAAGAGTCAACATATAACAAGAGGGCCCACTCCTCTCTTTGAGCCAATTAAAAAAGTGTCCTCAAAATTCGGTGGCGCCCTCTTCGCAAATGCGCACCCTTTGCGAACAGAGTTACCCTACTTGTGTTTTAAAAAAATCAAAGTGAAACTAACAAGTTTTTTTGAATAAATAAGAATTCAAATTTTGGAAGAACGCTTTTTAAAAAGGGTTACGCTGACAAAAAAAAACCTCTTCCGGAGGATGGGGCGACTGTTTTCTTCGTTTAATTTGACTTTAGAATGAGAGGCGAGAGGTCATTAAAATTTTAAAAAAACTAAAACTCCGCACTGAACGAACCCGAACAGCTGATGAACAGCAGTCGATCTGCGCATGCAAGGAGGTGCTATTCCTATTCTTCTTCTGGAGAAACGAAAGAGAGCTTCAAAACAGACTGCAGCGCCATCTGAAGCAAAGAGCGGACTTCCGGCGGACACTTTTTTGGCTGAGTGGACCATCTTGTTATGTACTATCTTTGCCTACAACAATGAACTCTGTGTCACTGAACGAAGCACTCTTTGCTGCAGTGCAAAAACAGCAACCCCTTTATGATAAAAGTGATGATAACTACTCCAATAGAGTATTCATCCCAAGACAATGTCAAGAAATTGGAAAAGAAATTGGAATCGATGGTGATATTCTCAAAAATCACCTCTTCTTAGAAAAATACCCTGTGTCCAGCTCTGTCTTCTTTTCACCCAAAAACAATAAGATTGCTCGACACAGGAGTAGCAAACTCAATACGATGTAGATCTACTGTTTTTATAGTTTTAATGACAACACCCGACGTTCGCGATCGGAAAGCGAGTGGAGAGAAAAACGTGTCACATTCGTTTCTCTCCCATTTTTATGTCGATCAAGGAAATAGGTCGGACTGGAAACGAAAGGGAGCGGAGAAGAACAGGGGTGCACTCAGTTCATGCGTAGGCGTACTTTAGATATTAGAGTGTAGTGTTGAGGAAAATAATACGTCAACTTTTATATTTTAGGTGTATCTGTAAATCCCCTTTTTTACCCGCTTTGGGCTAAAATCAAAGAAAACATGTCGGAACCTTAGTGTGCAGGGACATAATTTATGAATGGGCTTTTAGATTCTACAGTTCATTCAACTTTTAGACCTGTATGCAAAGATCTGAGAAGATTAAACAGTGCAATTTCATTTTATGATCTTGTTTTAACCGCGGTTAGACGAAAGTGAAGAAGCTATAGTTAATTTCAAAGGAGTATAGAAAAATCTAATCAGTATGAGAAAAATTGAAAATTAAGAATACATGTCAATGTTTATGTTTTCTATCTTTATTGATTGACTGGTTTTATTTTTTTAAAAGCTAAAGACGATAGATAACATCTCTTAACAAGGAATTTTGGATTTCTCATTTGTAATGCACGTACCAAAACCATTTAATTTGGTCCATAAATATATGAGTACCGTAATTGCAGAAGTAGTGTGCGACAGTGAGGAAAATCTGATTTTGCGGAGACCGGCCGGACTGGGTTAAACAGATATGCCTTCCCAGACAACTCAGTATTTCGAGAAATCAAAAGGTGTTGTGTGCGTTGATACTTCGATGCTAAAAGTTGTTATGATGGTTGCCATTTGACTGATGTCGATTCTTTATAATTGCTTTGTTTGGTTCGTTCACTGAACTGACGATTCTTTATAATCACTTTGTTTGGTTCGTTCACTGAACTGACGATTCTTTATAATCACTTTGTTTGGTTCGTTCACTGAACTGAGAGCAGATTTAGATCTATGTTGCTTTAAAACAGACCCTTACTCGTAATGTTATCTAATTACCAGATCGATGTTCTAGAAGCGTAGCCTATATTATGTGTATTTTAAAAAATAAAGAATTACGGAGTATTTTTTTAAAATACTAAAATTAAAGAGTGTGGGTTGTTGGCGAGTGCTCTGGTGTGATTTGCTCCTTCTTTTCTATCAAACATCTATCGTCTTGATTTCTCCCTCTTTTCTGTGTTTGTTACTCTCTTGTAACACCTCTAATCTTAGGCACTTATATGACCTTATTGCGTTGCATGTGCCGTAAAACTCTTACGAAAACGAAAACGATTAAGGAGTAGTTGAGAGGGTTGGTCGGGGAGGGGCGGTGTTGACAGTATATTAACCATTATATTTATATGTTACCGTACATAATATTTCACCTTTTTATAGATTTACTGATTTAGGTTTAGCTTATCGTTCTTCTCTTAAAGTGCTTGAGAATGCTTACAATTTTTAATGTGTATTTCCTCTTGCTCCTTTACCAAATGCTGCAATTGTCTCGGAGCAGTGATACTGGTGGGTCCCCCTTTTCCCAAATCTAGATTGTTTTTATCAAATTAATTGAAAAGAAAAAATCCGGAACAGTGTTTGGTTGTCTTTTGATTTGTCTGGTTGATATGATTTAGTGCTCATGTTTTGTCTTTGTCATCGTTTATCTCAGGTTTTAATCTTTGAATAATGCTGTTAGCAAAGTTGGCCGGGGAGGAAAGGCCAGTGTTAATTATATATATGTTTAGTATGTTTTAATACACACCCCCAAAACGCTCGTAAAATTAAAAACCAGAATGTTATCTTTGAGAAGTGATAAGTTTCCAAAGGGAACAATCTTAAAACTTAAAACAGGAAACTGATTTTAAAAAATACAGTAGGATGGAAAAGGCAAGTGCAATGAGCAGCTTTGAAACCTGTATGTGTCTTTTGTTAGAGGTTGTTTTTTTTTTTAGATTAGTCGTGCTTAATGCTTTGTATTGTGGGTGGCTGCTTTTCCTCCAGTTGTCCTGTGCTCTTTCCCAACATTATAAAATAGGTCTTTTTTTTCTTTACATTTTTAGCGTATAGCTGCCTTCCAGATTTTTTTCTCAATATTAAGAAAAATAAAATATTTCGTCCTTTATTATGTAGAACCCTGAAGCGAATCACCCCTCCCCCTTTCCCCCCTTTTTTTTCCCAACCATACACATGCACACACAAATGTGCACTCACACATTCACACCCACCCACACGTACACGCATACACACCGACACACACACAGACAAGCGCATGTACACACATGCAGACACACACACACACACACACACACACACACACACACACACACACACACACATACCGGCTCACATGTTCACACATACCTAACACACACAGACAAGCACATCCACACACACGCACTCACACACACACGCACACACATACACACACACACACACACACACACACACACACTCTCTTTCTCTCTCTCACACACGCACATGTACACAGACTTTTACACATAAACACACTAACACGTTCCTATCGACAGTCTATGTGTTTCAACTGTTGATATCTGTTGGGACTACCGACTGATTTGAGACAAATATTCATTTATAATGTAATGTGCTTATAATAATAATAGGCGTTCCAATTATACCAATGCCCATTTCAAGCCTTTTGCTCAGTAAAAACATTTTTTTCTTGTTTTATTTTTTAACGTTTTAAAAAAATTTCCAGTACCAAATTCAATCGATTTGTCCAATTCAATAAACAGAGAAACATCTTATAATTTTAACTAACAGTTCTAATATGTTCTTGGTCGTGTCTTTGAATTTGAAAACATAAAGAATAATTAAGTGTTCCTTATATAATATCTAATTTAAGTTATTTCGTTTGACGTTGTGGAATCAATATGATTTGAAAGTTGCAAAACGCGTTGAGCATGCTGTGTTGAGCGTGGATGTACTATATATATTAAATGCAATATGTTATTATTATTTTTATTATTATTATTATTATTATTATTATTATTGTTATTATTATTATTATTATCATTATTATTATTATTATTATTATTATTATTATTATTATTATTATTACTACAATGTAGGACCTGAAAAAAATGTCGTTATAGAGACTTGCCGTCGTAGAGGGACAACCAAAAATTACTAGTGTATATATATATAAGAAAAAAATCAAAACCTGGGCACCATGTCGATATACAGAGGATGTCATTATATCAAAGGTCGATATAATAGAGAGCCTGCACTGTATTATTATTATATTTATTATTATTATTACTATTATTATTATTATTATTATTATTATTATTATTGTATACCAGTGTCTCTAATCGCTTCTGTTTTTCTTTTCATCTCGCCAGGACTGGCCAAAACAGGATGATTCGCAGTCAGGTAACGCTCTCAGTGTGGAAGGATAACTCAAACTGACTCCAGCATCGACTAGCAGAACGCCCAGTACCTGGTTATGAGGGTCAATACCGCAAATAAGCAGTAGGATTTTGGCAAAACTTAAAAACCAAATACAGTCGTAGTAGGGTATTGACTTCAAGTAAATGTAGGGAACTGAATACGACAAAGAAAAGGCACAAAGTAATAGTGTGATATCGACGGCAAGTTATATATTGCGTGGTAGACTGTGAAATAGTGATCAGGCACTGTCCTACTCACTACAAATGTATAACATATTACAATATTGTGTATAATTTTTTTTTCTCCCCATGTATCGCATGCCGTGGAATAACCATTCACCATTGTGTTTTATTTTAGATTCCTGCGTACTAATACCCTAGGCTTCAAACAAATCTCACCCATTACACCAGCACATCCCTTTTTCCTATTTTGCCTTTACATAATATCTCCATCTTCTTGTTCTTTTCAAGCTGGGAGAAAGAGAGAGAGAGAGAGACAGAGACAGAGAGAGAGAGAGAGAGAGACAGAGACACAGAGAGAGACAGAGACGTACTGTTAAAAGAAAAGATTTTGTTTCTATCTGTTTTCTGTTTGTTGATCTTACTGAATTTCTTCCTCTGTCTACATTTGTCTGTCTGTCTGTCTGTCTGTCTGTCTGTCTGTCTGTCTGTCTGTCTGTCTGTCTGTCTGCCTGCCTGCCTGTCTGTCTGTCTGTCTGTCTGTCTGTCTGTCTGTCTGTCTGTCTGTCTGTCTGTCTGTCAGACTGTGTCACTCTCTCCCTCCTTCTCTCTCTCTCCGTCTCTCTCTCTCCTTCTCTCTTTTTTTCTCTCAATCTTAAGTGTGCGCATGTGTGTGTGTGTGTGTGTGTGTGTGTGTGTGTGTGTGTGTGTGTGTGTGTGTGTGTGTGTGTGTTTATGTGAATGGTCAAACCCAGTAACGAGTGAATCAAGTTTTTCTCTGCACTTTTGTATGCCCGTCCTCTTCATCCCATTCTCTGCCTGAGAGATGCTCTCTAGCATTAAGTAGAATAGTATTGTCTTCATACGCTTGGTATAGTACTAGACACCCTGTACCCTTTGTCATTATATATCTTGAGGTGTTGGGCCTGTGTTCATGCTCTCACACACACACACACCTACACACACACACCTACACACACACACACACACACACACA